ATAAAACTTTGTAGCATACCCTGATCATTGCCAGTAATTATAATATGATTCATATAAAAGAGAAGATATAGAACAGAAGAACCTCTATAAAGACAAAACATGGAGGAATCAAAGTGAGTTTGTCGAAATCCTAACAACAACAGATATGAATTGAATCTCTGAAACCAAGCTAAAGGTGCATGGCGAAGACCATATAACACCTTTTGAAGTCGACACACATTATGAGGTCGACGCGGATCAACAAAGCCATGTGGTTGTGCATGTAGACGAGTTTAGTGAGCACACCATTCAAAACGGCGTTTTTCACATCTAACTTATGAAGGGACCATTTTTTATGAACAGAAAGGGCTAGTATTGTACGAACAGTAGCAGCCTTGACGACAGGACTGAAAGTGTGATGAAAATCGGCACCAGAAACTTGAGTGAAACCCTGAGCAACAAGACGAGTTTTGTGACGCTCAATAGAATCATTTTAGCAATATTTAGTCCTAAATACCCATTTAGAACCAGCAATATTAGTGTTGGGAAGAGAAGGAACTAACTCTTATGTGTGATTGTTCATCAAAGCATCATTTTCTTCTTGCATAGCATATATCCAATGAGGAAATTTGCAAGCATATTTGAGACCACGGGGCTCAGAAATAGCTGAAAGAGAAGAAAATAAAGCAGTTGAAGTAATGTCAACAGGATACCTGGGTTTGAAAACACCAGCCCGCGCTCGAGTAATCATCGGATGTGTGGGCAAGGGCGGTGCTGGAGGAAGAGAAATAGCAGGACCTGTGGGTGGTCCTGGTTAAGGCGGTTTATTAGGTTCAACTCCTGGAGCTGGAGCTGTGGTAACTGGAAAAGGTTCCAGGAGGGGATCATAGGTCAACTCCGGTTCTGTATGAAGACGACATGGAGCAAAATCTGAAGATCGACCATTTTCTGGTACAGGTTCGGTCGATGCCGAGCAAGACATTATAGGATCCAAAAAAGTTAATATAGACAAATCATGCGTTGAAGATGTAGTACTACTAAAAAAAGGAAAAACCTATTCGTCAAACTAAGCATGACAAGTAACATAGATGCGAGCGGAAGAAAGATCAAAACATCAAAAACCTTTATGAACACTGTTGCGACCTAGAAAAATGCATGGATGACTGCGAGGTGATAGCTTATTCACTGCAAAATCATGAAGAAAAGGAAAAATCCGACAACCAAAGGGTTTAAAGATAGTACAATTTGGAGCATAGTGAAATAATAATTCATATGGTGATTTATTATCCAATATGGACGATGGAAGCCGATTAATAACATAGACAGCAGTGGCAAAGGCTTCAACCCATAATGATGCAGAGGCGGAAGCATGAAACAACATAGAAAGACCTGTTTCGGTGATATGTTTGTGCTTTCGTTCAACTCTACCATTTTTCTGCGGAGTATATGGACATGATATTCGATAGAGGATTCCGTGACAAATCATAAACTCCTCAACACCTTTGTTCACAAACTCTGTTCCCCCATCAGAGTGAAACTTTCAAATCCGAGAAAATTGTGTACAAACAAAGGTATGAAATCGAACCAACACCTTATAAAATTCAGATTTAGCACGTAATGGATAGAGCCACGAAAACCGAGAAAAATCATCCACAAACATGGCATAATAATGATAAACCGGCATAAGAAGTAATAGGATCAGGCCCCCACAAGTCACAATGAACCAAATCAAGCACAAAAGAAGCACGTCTTTTATTCAATGAAAAAAGTAATTTTTTGCTCTTAGCTAATTGGCAAGACGAACAAATAGTGAGATCGGACAATAAGAACGTAACAGATAAATGACCTAATTTATTCGGCAATGAAATAACACCAAAACAAACATATCCTAGGCGCAAGTGCCATAAATTAAAGCTACCTCTTAAGTCTTTATAATGTAAAGCCGCAACCAAAGCCGAGCAACCTTTTTCGTATATATAAAGTCCCTTCGCACAGTTTCCCTGGGCCAGAATTGCCTTTCTCAACCGATTCTAAATAGCAAAAGATTTGCCAGAAAATTCAACATCAACATTATTCCGATATCAACTTACTAATAGGGATGAGATTTTTAGTAATATCCGAAACCACCAAAACATCCAATAACTTGACATCAATGGAAAGCCGACTAGAATTAATGTGAAAAATAATAAGAGAATTTTGTTACCAACAATAACCTAACCATTACCGGAATATGGTTCAAAGGAATCCGAATGAGTGTTGTGAGGGGTCATGTGAGATGAAGCGCCGGAATCAACATACCAATCAGAAGATGGATTCGTTTCAGAAACATTACAAGCAGCCCTGAATGCTTGAGCAAGATTTGCTGAGAAAGATGACTGGGATGGGCGAGAAGTGGCTTGGTTCTGCAGCTGCAGAAAACACGGACACTTGTCCTCATAGTGTTCCCCCCGACAGAGTTGACAGTAGAGTATGAAAGGACGACGTCCACCACCACGCCAACCACCAGGGCGACGCTGACCAGTAGGATCCAAAAAAGTTGATATAGACAAATCATGCATTGAAGATGTAGTACTACCAGAAAAAGAAAAACCTGTTTGTCAAACTAAGCATGACGAGTAACATAGATGCGGGCGGAAAAAGGATAAAAACATAAAAAACCTTTATGAACACTGTTGATCACACAGGAATTTAAAACGTTTACCATACTCTGCAACGGATTGGGTATCAGGACAACAGCTCTTCCCGAAGTTGATTTGCACGCGAGGTCAAAGCATTGGCATAGGGAGATTTAAGGGCGAGCCATGCCAAGCGAAACGTCGTGCAATCAAGGACCTCAGCCATTGTTTCTAGTTCAAGGGTTGCGTAAAGAGCACCAAGCAATTTATGTTCACACAGAAACTAGTAAAGTATGCCGGATTCGGAGATTCCTCACTGTTATCAGAAGTGAGAGTCTTGGCAGGAGCAGTGGACGAACCATCAACAAGATCCATGAGTTCGAAGGTGGTAGCCGTGAAAAGAAACTGACATTTCCACATTAGATATGTGGAAGTGGACAACTTGATCTGGACAAGATTGATCATTGTTGTCATCTGCAAGCAGTGACGAAATTATCATCTAAATCCCGGGGAGGGCAAAATATTATAATTTATTTAATATTTAGCTAATAAATTTAAATAAATAATAATGATAAAATTAGATATGAATTTAGATAATTTTGGAGGGACAAATTGTATATAAATAGATAAAAATTAATATTTTTAATACTAAAAAAATTATAAAAAATTTGGCTTGGGGGTCATTGATCCCCCAAGCCCTAATATAGTTCTATCCCTGTCTGCAAGGAAGAAGTAGCGACGGGAGCAACCATGGATAGGGTAAAGGATTTTGGAGGAAAGAGATAAAAAAAAAGTCTGCTACCATGCAAGAATTGATATGCGATCATAATGAATTTGTGATGAGAGGAATACATTCTTATATACAGTTGATTACAATCAGTAGGTTTGGTAAATTATGGAAACCCAATAAAATAAAATATATAAACGATACAGAGAATAATATATACAAGTCAACTCTTTCTCTTAATAGATATAAATAGCAAATTTTGCAAACATTCAGGATATATTTTGTCAACGAGATAAATATATGACAAAAATAATAATGAAATATACGTGTGAAATAATTTTACAATTTTTTCTTAATTTTTAATTTTTTTCCATTTTTTTTTTCTTGTTTGCACTTTTTTTTTTTTTTTCACAATGATTTCTAATATATATTTTATCCTATCACATTAAAAAAATTCTTCAAATCAAAACCATAAACAAACAAACCCAATATATTATATATTGAACCATTGACGTAATAGTATATGTATACATTAAAATAATTGTTAGTCATACTAACGAAAAAGTTTGTCAGAAATTTGTTGTGTTAGGTGAACATGCTCTATATTTATTAAGAATAAAATTTAATACTCATTTTGTCCCATGAATAATGGTGTCGTTTTCTAATTTAGTAATTGTATTACCTACCTAACATAATAAATATCCTTATAACTTACAATATATACACATGTATTATTATTTTTATATTACAAATATTAATAGGATTATTTTTGTTTTTTTTATTACAAATCAATATAATACTAATATTAAAAAAATTATGTGTACGTCTTTTTTTTACATAAAAGATGGATTCAATTTTCACTTTTGTATGTCATCCAATAATGTTTTTATTTTATCTTTTAATAGAAAATTGTACAATTTAATAAGTTTACATTTATTTTTTATATTATTATACTTAATATTAAAAATATTTTTATATTTATATTATAAAATATTAATATAAATATTTTATCTTTCTTTTCTTGAATTGTATTATGTTTAGATATAATAATTAATACTCAATTCGTCCTGCCTTAACGTATACATTTTTTTTTTTATTTTTTAGTAATCATAATCTCATTATTTTACATAAATATTTATATTTTACCATTACATTATTATTTATTTTTTATAAAAATAAGGGTAAATTTATCTTTTACTATTCATTTTAATTTAAATATCATTATTTTTTGTACTCTCCGTGAAAAATAAATGTATACATTAAGGCCGAGAGAGTTAAGATATTAACATACAAAAACTAAATATAAATTTATTAAGTAGATGAAAGTAATATTAATTTTATTTTTTATTAAAAAATATAAAATATCCTATTTATGTCATCCAATTTTATTTATTTATTTTTTTTTTCTGATTGTCATCTAAATTTATTTTTGCTTTTTTTAGTAAAAAAATCGCTTTTTCTAAAAATTTTAAATTTTTTACTTCATTAACTAACTACAAGCATTCGTCAACTCAAGGGAACAGTAAAAGCGCGTTTCTTTTTGCAGAATCGCTTTTTGTGCAAATGTGATTTTTATGGTTGTACGGACGCGCTTTTTCACTCTGACGCTTTACTGCAGTAATGCATATAAATGGCAACCGTTTTTCAGAGCCTTTTTTTTTACAGCTTCCGAGCTCCGTTTTCCGGCGAACGCTGTTGCTGCTCTTCTTCCACCGGTGAGTCGCGATTCTAACTAACGATTTACTGGTTCAATAATGGAAGGCGAAGGAGGGGGAGACTCCAGTTTGAACCTCAATTGTAGCAGCATTCCGGATTTCTCGCGCAGAAGCCACTGCGACGCCGATTTTTGTATTACTCACGTGTCTGGATCATCGGAGCCGTCGACGGAGCGGAAGAAGGTGAATGACCAAATGGCGGAAATCGGTGGTAGATGTGAGGCCTCCGGTGCTCCGGCGAGAACTCCTACTGATCTGACCATGAGTGCGGTCAGTGCGGCGTTGAAACTTCAGAAGGTTTACCGGAGCTATCGCACTCGGCGCATGTTAGCTGACTCCGCTGTGCTTGCGGAGCTATGGTATTTCAATCAGCCTTTTCTTCTTTAAATGCACGAAATTTTAACTTACCTTACGACGCGGAAAATCATGAGTTTTTGTTTTTTATCTCCTGTTTTCGCCTTCCTGCGTGGTGTTGGCTTTCGATTCACAATTATGTAGAAAATTGTCTAACAGAAAGCCATAACCACTAATTTTTCTCAGAAACTATGTAATTTTTCTGAGGAATGGATTGTTTGATCTTCATTTCTGGATGAGAAATTGCAGGTGGCAGGCTATAGATTTTGCTCGATTAAATCACCGTACAATTTCGTTCTTCAACTACACGAAGCCAGAGCCTGCTGCATCAAAATGGAATCGTGTAGGCTTGAACGCTTCCAAGGTAACACACACACACAAATAGATTTGATAAGCAAGATTACCTAGCTAGATTATTCAATACATCTATAATCTCTACAATTGTTGTTTATTAGTAACACGAAAGTGTGATCAGGTGGGGAAGGGATTGGCTAAAGATGGCAAGGCACAAAAATTGGCTTTTCAGCACTGGATTGAAGCTGTGAGTCTCATCTGATTTTTCCCATTCATGTGCAACGATAAAGTGCATGTTATATGTTCTGTTGAATTCCCACTATGACACGATGGTAATATGAGAAAAACATTTTGAGTATGTTTATTTGATTTGGTTGCTGCTGTGAAATTTATGTAGATCGATCCTAGGCATCGGTATGGGCACAACTTACATTACTATTACGATGAGTGGTGTAAAACTAATGGCGGTCAGCCTTTCTTCTACTGGTGAGACAACTTGTGTAAACCATAAGTCCATTGGAGTTACATGATTATTTTCAAGTTTATGCTATTTGTTGCAACAAAATTAGAACATTAGACATATCCTTTGGTTTTGGATATCATACGCGGCACAGGTTGGACTTGGGAGATGGCAAGGAGGTCGATCTCAAAGAGTGTCCAAGATCGAAGCTTCGTAAGCAATGCATCAAATATCTTGGACCTGTAAGTATGATAATAGTTTATATTTGTGAACCTTAGCAAGTTGCCTGTCCAAGTTATCTTAAATGGTGTATACACTTTATTTTCGATTCTGGTGTCCGGCAATCTTTTTTTCGAAGCTAAGCTCGACTAGAGTCACAAAGCCTTTTTAACTCTGTTTTGTGTTTGGTCTGGCCAGAAAGAAAGAGAGCATTATGAATATGTGATCTCCAAAGGAAAAGTTTTGCACAAACTAACCGGAAAACCTCTAGAGACGGACTACGACGATACATCTGCAGGATCGAAATGGATTTTTGTGATGAGCACTTCTAAAAGGCTCTACACAGGAGAGGTCAGCTCTCTCAGCACCTAATGACAAAAAAAATCGACACAATTACATGTGTATATATATATATATCATTCATGACTTTTTTCTTTGGAATAATCAAAATGTGCACGTTCAATTACCTAAAGAAAAAGAAGGGATTGTTCCATCATTCGAGCTTTCTCGCGGGAGGAGCCACTTTAGCTGCTGGCCGTCTCAGTGCAAAGAATGGAGACCTTAAGGTAATGTCTTTCTTCTTCGATTCACACTTAGGATAATGTCTTTCTTTCTTCTCCAAATATAGAGTCGATGCAGCTCTAGCCGTCTCCATGTATCGACACTCACATTTAATCATCATACGATTCTGAGCTTTCGACATTTAACTTTCTATCTGCACTAATCAGGGCATCTCAGCCTACAGCGGACACTACAAGCCAAGCGACGAAAGCCTTGACATCTTCCTCTCATTCCTCAAGGAAAATGGTGTCGACTTGAATCAAGCCAAGGTACGTATCCTCTAAGTATTAGTAAGTATACATTTTTCCATATTTTATTGTCTAAATACAAAACATCTATTTCTTTAGTACATATGAACCCCACTATATATTACAAATATTCTCACATTTATACTAACAAAGTACCACACAGATAAAATAGTTTTTACATAAAAAAAAAATACAATATTTATTAAACATCGTACAAAAAATAAATATTTACTTTCTAAATGGACGAAAGAAGTAATTAATTATGCATATCCTTAAACTTTTGAACTTTTTAAATAAGATGATCATATAACATATTATCAGACTCGGAATGTCTCTTAAATCCAACTTGTACAAAACGATGCGTACCCCTTAAAGTTTAACCTTTTAAGTGAGACGCTATTTAAGAATTAAGTTTCTCCTCATATCAGATATGCAAGGGAAACGAGGACTACTCCGAAAACATCGAAAATAGCATGGATGGAACATTTCAATGCGAGCAAACGGGAGCGCTAGGCGAATTCAACAAGTGCGATCAGCTTCGTGTGGCCTCCAAGGCCGAGGAGAAGAGATCTTTATCAGGCGGGGTTCAAAGTTCCAAGGCAGACGTGCCGAGGAGCGCCATAATGGAAAGGATCAACTCGAAGACGACGAGCTGGCGGTCATACCAATTAGGCCATCAAATCTCCACCAAATGGTCGACCGGCGCCGGCCCCAGAATCGGGTGCATCGGCGATTACCCCGTGGAGTTGAGGCTACAAGCACTCGCATTCACTAAAATCTCTCCCGCGCCTCTCCTTTCGCCTCCTGCCAACGACGACAGCATCGCTAAACCATCGTGAATTAATGATCATCCTCTGTTGCATCCACAGCTTCTTCTCGGTATTCATATATATATATATAGCTTTTTATTCTGTATTTGTGTGTGTATTTTAATCTGCCTTTGAAATCTGCATTCTAATGGCTAGTTGGATATATATATAGTTCTATACCAGTTTATGAATTTTTAGCAGAACTAAAGACCAGAGCTTAATATAGAATAGTTTGTAATTTCTCTAACGGTATATTTATTTTGTGGAATTATAAAGTTAAAAATGCCCTTATAATTTATTTATTTATTATTATTATTACTACTACGGATGTGAGTTTTCTTTTGATGAATTTAGAAAAAATTTAATTAGGTATTAAAATAATGCATGATAAGATGTTGTATTTTGCTATTTATATAGGTTAACTTTTATTATAATTGAAAATAAATATTTTTGAATGAAATACGAAAATAATAAAATGAATACATTTAATTTAAACGATTATGTAAAAAATAAATCGAAGATAGTTAACAGTTTCACACATATCTATGCGCATGCCGCCATGGGCGTTGCCCACCTAGTCTCACGCTCAGATCCCAAAATTTAGGGCTCCCTTATGTCATCTTCAATCCATGAATTTCATTTATTTCATCCCTTTCATTAAAATGTTGCTATTTTTTATTTTTGTTTGTCTCAAAATAATTATAATTTCCTAATTTAATAATTGTACTATATAGCTAACATAATAACCAACTTAATAGAGATATTTTCGTCTTTTTCACTACAATCTATTATAATACTAATATTAAAAAAATGTACGTACAAAAAGTAAACGAAAACCTTACGGGGACGGTGGGAGTATGTAGTTTTAATTTTAAAAATTACTCTAAAAGGAATATTTTCAAAATATTCTATTTTATATATTATTTTTTTAAAAAAAATATATTTACAATTCACACTCAACTTTAATTATTATTTACATAAATATTTTAATTATTTACTGTAAAATTTAAATACATTTAAAACTTAATTTAAACTATTATGAATTTAGATATTATAAATATTAATCTCTAATAAATAAAAAAAGTTATATATACATAATTAAATTATCAAATTGCAATAAGTTCCTACATAATTAAAATAGATTCCAAATATAAATTTTCAAAATTAAATAATTTTTTTTTAAAAAAAATAAAAATAAAATACCAAAACTATGGTTGCTAAATTTTTGTTGTTGCATTATAGCAACGCCATTAAATATGACACCGGTTGGAGGAAATTATCTCCATTTAATGCGACCAAACTCTATAATTGGAGCTGGCCTTAGGTCATTTTTTTAATTCACGAATTTCATTTATACAGTTTTAACTATGCAGTTGTTACAATATTTTTACTTTAACTCACAATTTTACTTTTTATTCCAAAAAAAATATTTTTCAAATATTCTATTTTATACATTATTTCAAATTATTTTTTATATTTACAATTAATATCATCTTTATATATATATATATATATAAAAACTAATATAAAAAATTAATTAATATTATTTTTTTTAAAAAAAATGAAAACGCCAAAAAATTGGTGTTCGTATAGTGCAACACCAAAATTATGTCCTGAAGTAACACCAAATTTTGACGTCAAATTTGACATCAGTTGGAGAGCAACTAATGTCAAATCTTCAACCCAGCATCATAAATGACGTTGGGTTGGAGATGTCCTTAGAAACATATTTTTATAAAATATAGTACTTTTTTCGTTTCAATTTAAAGTAATTTTTTTTTATCATTTTCTTCTGTCTCATTCCAAAGTAATTATTTCATATTTCAGAAAAAATAATCATATACTAATATCAAAATAGTTTTTAATTTTTACTTAAATTACAAACATATCACTGTACATACAATTACTTTATACAAAAATTCAAATGACAAAAATATCAAAATTTCTTACATATTTCCACTAACCAATAAAATACTATTATTTCTTAATATATTACAAAACTCCAAAATGCCCCTTTCGATTAGGACGGAGGAAGTATGAAATTAATTTTTTATTTTTTATATTATACTTAAAAATTAATGCAAGGGTAAAAGTTAAGAGTATTGTTTTTTTTAAAAAAATATTAAAATGAAAAAAAAAATAGTATTTTAAATTGAAACGAAAAGAGTATTTTTTTTTTGGAAAAAAACTACCATTTAGACAAAAAAAAAAACTTTTGATTGTTTTAAAATTTTAAAAAATTAAAAATAGTACTCTCTCTGTCTCATTTCAAAGTATTTTTTATCATTTTTGTATATCTAACTTTAAAGTATCATTTTCTATTTAAAAAAAATAATCATACAATAATACTAAAATACTTTAACTTTTCTTTAAATTACAAACATATCATTACACGTATAATTACATAAAGCCAAATGACAAAAATATAAAAAACTTCTTACATAGTTTCACTAACTAATAAAATATTATTATTTCTCAATCTACTACAAAATTCCAAAAGATCCATTTGAAATAGACCAAAGAGAGCAAAAGTTAATATTTAATATAATACCCCCCTCCGTCCCAAACAAGTTAAACAAAACCTTGTTATTTTAAATTTTTTTTTAGTAATGTGATTGGATAAAATATTGATATAAATTAAATATAATCAATTATTTCTTATTTAAAAATATTGAATTGTGTTTGTGACATACCAAAAAAAAATATTATAGAGTATCTAGAAAGGAATGAGTAATATTTTGTAAAAACATATATATTATACCATAATTTTGAAAAATAAAATGGTGCCACACTCAAAATCATGTCTAAACAAAACCTTATACTCCCTTTGTCCCAAAGGGTGGTTTTGTAATATATTAAGAAATAATAGTATTTTATTAGTTAAAAAATGTGTGTGTAAGAGTTTTTAATAATTTTGCTATTTAATTTTATGTATAAAATATATATATGTGTGTGTAAGAGTTTTTAATAATTTTGCTATTTAATTTTATGTATAAAATAATTATATATTAATGATATATTTATAATTTAAGTAAAAGTTAAAAAATATTTTATATTAAAGTACGATTACTTTTTTTTTAAAATATACTTTAAAATGTAATATACAAAAATAATAAAAATAATATTTTGCATTAGAGCAAAAAAGCATTCCTAATTGGATAGTTGATTATATGAATAGTTTTATATTACAGTATAGGCATACTTTATACTATGTTAGATAATACTTCCTCCATTTCCGCTACAGTGTCCATTTTTCTGTAGCCATGAGAATTTAAAAAAAGTATAATTAGTAAATAATTAAGAATATATTAGTAAAAATAATTATCAAATAATAAAATAAATATATATTAAAATTAAAATAACTAATTAATCTAATTAAAATTTAAAATAATTATAAATTAATTTTTTTTAATGAGATTAAATTGTATAAATTTTTTTCAATAAAAAAAAATGATAGATAAGTGAGACAAGCAAAAATAAAAAGATGAACATCATATACAGGAGTAACTAACCAGTCACTCTTGCCAAGTGACCTCATCTGGTCAAATTATTATAATTATATGGAGAGGTTTACTTCAAAGGATTTACATTAGAATATATTATTTTATCCGACGTAATATAATGTTTACTTTGATTTAATTCGGTCCGAGATAATCGCAAATTTGGTATACTAATATCAATTTAGAGGATTATTAGTTTAGTCCAACACCATGATATTATTTAATACAATTTAATAAAATTACTAAACTACCTTTGTTCTTAATCTCTTTTTATATTCTATTCATTCCATTTCCTTCACTCTCATGCAGTTAGTTTTTTTTTTTTTGGGCAGTTCACAGTTCTTTTTGCACACACAGTAGCTTCAAGTTTTTTTGGTAATTCATCAATTATATATGTAAGTATCAAATATATTTAAATGTATCAAATAAGTAAATTTGTTAGAATATTAAATATATTTTAATTATAGTAAAAAATATTATATCAAAATATATACATATCATAATGAAATTTTTAAAAGATTATTATATATTATATTGTTATCCTTAGAAAGAAAAAGATTGTACGTAAAAAAACAAATTATATAATTTATAATAGGATTATGAAGGGTATTTTGGATAAAAAAAAATCATATCATATAATCTAATAAGGTAACATAATATAATTTATGTATTGTTTAATCCATCAAAGTAAACATTATATTAATGAGTAAACTTTTTTTTAGTCCCGTAACTGGACTAATTTATTATTTTAGTCCCGTAAGTGGAGCATGTTGCAAACTAGTCCCATAAGTGAAATTTTTTTGTTGTTTTAGTCTTCCGGCGTCGGAAACGCCCGCGTGGCTCGCCGGAGGTGACGTGTCAGCCAGGTCAGCGAAACCTGACGGACACGTGGATTTATTTATTTTTTTCATTTTTTTATTTGGACCAAATAAAAATAATAAAAATAAAATTTAAAATAAATTAGAAATAAGTTTTAACAAAATTAAAAAAAATAATAAAAAAAATTCACGTGTCTGCCAGGTTAGCGACACCTGGCGGACACGTCACCTCCGGCGAGCCACGCGGGCATCTTTGGCGCCGGAGGACTAAAACAACGAAACTTTTTCACTTATGGGACTAGTTTGTGACAGGCTCACTTACGGAACTAAAATGATAAGGGGTCCAGTTACGGTAGTAAAAAAACAATTTATCCTATATTAATTAATCATTTTATTATTTTTAATCTATTGAAATAATCTTTTCGTTGAAAATTTTTTTGATGTGAGATACAGTAAATTGTGTACATAATATAAAAATAATGAATGTGTGTAATATATTATTTTTTTTTGAAAAAATGCATTGGAATTTTTTTTTTAAAGAAACAAACCTTGATACTTCCTCCGCCCATTCCAAAATATATCTTTTGGATTTTATAATTAATTAAAAAATTATAATATTTTATTGATTAGTGGAATGACATAAAAATTTTTGATATTTTTAATTTTTAAATTTTATATATAAATTAATAGTATGTATATTTTATTTTTATAATTTAGATTAAAATTAAACATATTTTGATATTAATATATAATTACTTTTTACTAAAATAAAAATAAATATTTTTAATGAAATATACGGAATAAAAGAAAAAAAAAGTATTTTTAATTTGAAAAAATGAGTACTATGTATATGAATATATAGTTTTTGTTAAAAAGATATTCTAAATTTCTATCAAGTACATATTCCTTTTGACAAAATATCTTATGAAATATCTGATCTACTTTGTAAA